TAGGGGTGGGTGTGAGTGTGGGTGTAGAGGTCTTATCTGCGTTCACTTTCATGTCCACATCAATCTATTCGCACCGAGTTCACACTCACCCACAAAAACACTGACACCCATACCCACACCTGTACGCATAACAACACCCACACCCACCCACACCACACCCACACCTTGTGCATAGCTACCTGAATAAGTTTAGTTTTATGAATTTCATAATTCAATTATTTTTACATCAATGCAATATTTTTTTTCTGCCTTACAAATTATTCAGAGATTCTTTCCTAAAGTATGCAGTATAAAATCAAGCAGTAAACATAATTTCATGGTTGCTAATACAAATGATGCTAAGATCTACAGAAGAAGTCTATCACAGACTAAAAGTCCAACCTCACCTAAACGTTTTCAACACTTAAATACATCAGTTGCATTTTCGATGCCATGTGTATAATAGAAAAATAAAGGAAATTCTGATGATTTTAGATTTGACTAGCAGTGTTATGTTCCGAACAAAATCATTAAAGAAGTTATTACCTTCAATCTGAGTTAGTCTTCTGAGCTGGAAAATACTATTAATGTACCGCCTGTATTGATAATATTATCTATAGAAAAATTCATTTTCTAAATTACATACCTTATTGATTAATTTTCAAAGTGAGCAATAAATCGGCATGGTGAACATTGTCAACAACAATGTGTAAAAATGAAGAGAAAATTGAATGTTTTTCATTTAAAAACTACTCAAAACTAGTTGGTATTACGAGTCGCATGCAGTTATTCATTCTTTTCAACTTTCTTCAATATGTATGTTGAACAATCCCAAGTGATTCTAACTCGGTCGGATCCTGTCGGATTCAAATAATTGCGTCTGTATCCTGTCGGATTTTTGTCGGAATCCCATGGGCCGGATTCTGTCTGTCGGATCTGATCGGACACGTGCAAAATCCGATAGGATTCTGTCGGATTTCGTCAGTTTTTATCGGATTCCGACGAAATCCTGACCGGAATCCTGTGCAAGGATTGCTTGTCTTGAGATGTATTCAATAGATCGGTCACATAAAAAAAAAGAAATAAACGATATTCGATAAAACGTTAACAAGATTAATTATTTCTACTCGCTTTCTTCTGTCTCTTTTATGAAGGGCGTTATAGAAGTTACAAAATTGCATAAATGAATCTGACTGTAACACAGAAAAAAACTCATGCCTATAGGATCTTAAAACACCTTTTATGAATCTATTTTATTTTAAACGAAATTTTCAAAATCTAATTGAAATGGTCTTAGTTAATAAGTTAATTTAAACGAAAATCGTTGTTGAATGATTGATTAGTCAATATGAAATGTTCCTTGTAGCATCTTTGGCATAGATTCGGCTTGCTGCTGGCTTGTCATCTTCATCAGTAATTTACCAGTCTGAGGTGAATCTGTAATACTAGCCGTATCTTTCATCTGTGAAATACATTTTTCAAGATTTTGAATATCACTATGCTCTTGCGGATGGAAACGTTCGAAAATTTTCAAAGCTCGTCTAAGATATCCAATTGATAAATCGTATTCTTTTGTTTTTTGAAATATTAAACCCATGAACCAAAATGACCAAGCGACGTGAGGATGATCATTGAACGTCTTAGATTCTAATTCAAGTTGATATTGTCGAAAACGAAGACTTTCTACTAAATGGTCCTTAGCGAAATACCAATGACTAATGAATTCGAAACAGCAAATAACTGAATGTATATCCAATAATGTTTTGCTTTCGCCAGAATCCATTTGACCATTACACACTTCAAACATTTCATTAAAAACAATAGCACATAATGGAAAGTCTAGTACAGCTTCGTAGATTGTTAAATGAAATTGCCATTGATTTTTTATATGATTCATTTTCAACATCTTCAAGCGTTGAAGAATACATTTCCACTTATCGTCTTCTCTGGCAGCACTCAAAAATGCCAGAAAAGATAATTCAGCACTCTTCAACCAGCGACAAGATTTATACGGCTCATCGCACGCATACTTTTGGCACAACAGATAATTTAAAGCTTGTTTTGTTCTCGTGTCATTTTGATTGTAAATGAGTTTTTCGAAAATTTCTGTTGCTTCTGAATATAACTCAAGTGCTGCTCTTGTCATTTTAATCGTTTCATGCAAAGCACCACTTTTCCATGGAATGATTGCCTTTTTGTAATGAAGTGATGATAAATGTTGTCGACCGACTGGCATTAATGAAAATAAGTTTAAACTCTCTCCAATACAACCGTATTGAAAGCCTCCCGAACGATCGACTAGAATAAAGTCTATCCATGTTTTATCAAGTATTTCTGTAGATGATGAATCATTTCGTTCAGTAGCCAGCAAGAAATATTCATAAGACTTTAATGCTTTCTCTTTCATATCGTTTTTTCTAAACCATTCATACAATAACCAGTGACATTTACTTAATTCGAGAGGATCCTTTTCACATACGTCAACAGCACGTTGAATGTACTTTTCAATAATTTGTTCTTGTTCTTCTTGGTAAAAATTTAGAAACTTTTGCAATAGAGGGAAAATAGTATTGTGTGATTTGGTAGCTTCAGCATGTCTTAGTACTTTTTCTAAATAGTGTAAAGCATTATGACTATCATTATTTGCTTCATATTTCTTAGCAATATATTCTAAACATTGTATCTCTGTAGAACCATTATCTGAAAATTGTTTGCCTTTTTTCAGAGCTCGTTCTAATAAATTGACCATTGATCGCATATCTTTTTTTGCAAAGTATATATCGATTAAGAGTTTCCAACAAGCTCGAAAATCCTCTGTATCTATACCAATCATTGTTGATTCGTAAATGTTGAACGCTTGCTGATAACATTGATATGCTAAATTAGCTGAGTGACAAAAATTAAATAATTTACCCACCTCCACTAAGAAAGATGCATGTTGTTTATCATTTATGGGAAATAATTGTGTATAAGCGGTTAACCTAAACTTGAGTAATTCTATAGATTTTGAATAGGATTTTTCGTAAATACTATCTTCAATCGATTCCGTTGATAAAAAATCGTTTACTTTCGTTGTATCTGATTGAAGCAATATTTTGTAATAGTTGAGTGCTAGGTCAAACCTCATGGTATCTTCGCACAGTCCTGCCATAAGTTCTATGTATTCATTCGATGTCTTTTGCATACACGATGAATCTCGTTCACACATTTTCAACACTCGATTTAAATAAGTGATCGCTTCTTGCTCACAATTAAGATTCAAACAACAGCGAACGACATTTATCCATGAATCTAGACAAGGTTTGTCTGAGGGTAATAGCATTGCTTCTGAGTATTCGAAGATTCGTTTGTAATATTGAAGAGCTTCACGTAGATTGCCCATTGTTTTGTACGACTGAGAAATGCATGATGCACTTTTGATATGAGTCGGATGATGAATAGGTAAATATTGAGAATATATCACATCAGCTTTCAGATACAAAGAAAGTGCAGCTTCATTATCACCCATTCTCTCCTTCAGAATTCCACAGTTCCATGTCAAATTTGCTTTAAAAATACTGTCTTCAGATTGAGTATTTTCCACAATTTGTAACCCGCGTTCATAGTAATCTAATGCACGATCGTATTCCTCACGATCATTATAAACGGATCCTATATTATTAAACGAAAATGCAGTTCGAATATGATTTTCACCATACATATTTTGCCACATTTCTAATGCTTTTTCAAACACCTCAAGTGCTTGACTTAGTTCTGACTCCTTGCCACTACCAATTAATGTTTGGGCTTTCATATAATGTGTTGCTCCGATCTGATTATACACATCTGCTATATCTGAATGATCACTGGGTAATGTTTTGAGAAGCATCTGAAAATATTCTTCTGCACGTTCAACTTCATTCATCTCGACCATCAGAAGACGTCCAAAATAGATCAATGGAGAATACACTTGCAGTTGATGTTTTTGTGCATCTAAATATGATTGTAATGTCGTAGAACCTTCGTCCGTAGCAGTTAAAAAAACTTTCCCCATACAGTTTGTTTCATCAAATTCGCATTCATCAATTCGAAAGACAGCGCCGAGTGAAAAAAGTACTTCTTTCTCTAACTTAATTACACTTTGATCACTAACGTCTGCAAATATCACATTTTTTAATGTTTTTGGATCGGCTTTAATGATCATTTGCATTCGAATCATATTCTCATCCAAATAAGACAGTGATGACTGTAAAAATTCAATAGAAATATTTTCATCACGTGAAGTTGATATGAAGCCATTTGTAGCTATGAGAGCTCCAATATTGTTTTTCAAATTTTCAAATTCTTCTTTTGAAATTCGTTGACCTCGGTATAAAGTGAGTGGTTCACTCTCTTTCTCAATCAATTCCTTCTTTCCAACATCAAGCTGAGCACACAGATCAATAATAAAGAGACGAAATGTATACAATAGTGTAATATCTTCAGTACGTAAAGCTTTGTTTAGAAGTTTATAGAGAAATGACTCAGCTGTGTAATATTTAACAGCATCATTGGGAGTATACGAAGTACGAAAAGATTCGATTTTTTTAAGTTCTTGTCTATTGTTTCGATAATAAGCAGAGCAATAATCTAACATATCATTCTTTGCTTGTTCATCTGTAGGCATTTTTCTCAATACATCAACGAGAAGTTGATTCCATAAAAATGATGCAGATTCTTTTGTAAGATTGCGTGTTGACTTTTGTTTACAATCAAACATACGAAATACCATATCTTGTTTCTCAATGAGTTTCATTGTATCAGTAATCGATTTAATCAAGTTATCTCGATCTGTATAAATGTCAACAATTTTTCGTGGATATTCATCAAGAAGATTTGAATGAAGTTCAGATACTTCACAGAAAATAAAGACAGCACGAACAGACCGTATACTTTGTAGTCGAGGTAAAATTAAGTGAGCTAATGAACCAGAGACTACAAGAAGAATATGTTCTGTTTGAATATTTAAAATAATTTCAAGACACTTATCGATATCAGTGTAAAACTGAGCATTGACATTCAATATTCGAAGCATTTTCTTGGTTTTACGTGCATCGGATGACTTAGCAAGATGAGCATCGAGCCAAATCAATTGAAAGTCTTCCTTGTTATCAGGTAACTCGTCAAGATTCAAGTTTAACTTATCATCATGATCAACGGTTCGTGGCATTATTCAATTGAATTCGTGAAGTCTCAGATTCTGAATCCTCTTATTATAAAATCACTTTTTATCAAATGTTATAGGTAGAAAAATAACTGTTTTTAAAAATGTCTATATTGAGTAACTGTGGAAACATACAAAAGAAAGCATTTCGTAAGAACACACGCTATTCTGTCATTAAAAATTCTGAATTTATTTGATCAAATCTATGCGTAAGCGGCAACAAAAAGGAAAAAGAATGCGTTATTATTCTCTTGAAAAACGTTTCAATTTTTCTTCCATAATGTCATTCTCTAACAGACATTTTGAGAACAACAGAAATGAAAAAACACATGTTTGCAGTTATTGGTGAAAGTGATGATGAATTTTAAATATTTCCAACAATCGCGAGATGTCGTCCAAAATAGATGTTACCAATGGAAGAAATAGGATAGTTCACTTCTAGGAGGGGGATATGGGTGTAGCTGCTGATGTAGAAATAATTTGTCAAAACCAGCAGTTTATACCCACATCTTTTAATGATATTCAACATCATCTTGCTGTATGTGTGAATGCCTAGCATCTTCGTTTTTTTTTATTATTACTTTCATGCTTCAAACCTCTGTTTTCTCCGATGATTAAATCCTTACATGTGTACTCTAATAAAGTTTACAATATACTACAATTACACGAAACAGGTAACATTTTATTCAATTTTACATGAAAAGTATGAACAAAACACATTCTGATAATGTCTTCAATAAGTAAAACAGAAAATGAAAATGTAGTAGCCAATGTTTTTCTTTTATATTTCATGTGAGATGTAATCATACGATTCAGGGTTCAAGCAGAGATAGCGTCACATTGTAAATCGTGCTGCAATAGTAGGGTGGGTGTGGGTGTGGGTGTTAGCTCTCATATGTATAGAACGAAAGCGGCAAGCAGTGTCACTGATGTTGTGTGACAGAACGATGAAAAAGACGACCTTCATGGGACTCGAACCGATACCTTCTGCTATCCGGGCAGATGTCCTAAGCCAATTAGACTAGAAGGCGCATCTTAATCATCGTTTAGCGTCCAAGTGATCCATCATGGACGCTAATAGTGGGTGTGAGAGTGTGGCTGTGGCCGGGAATGGGTGTATATCTCTATCTTTATCCGAGTCTATGGGCTTTTTTATTTCAAACTGAATTCTAAAATCAAAAAAACCACACCAATTTCTTCCGAATCAAAC